TTTGCCTTGCAAATTGCCAACTGAATCTGCACATCAGCATTGAGAGAATCCTGAGTGAGTGAGGACTCCCAAGTCCCTTTGTGCTCAGATTTCTAAAGCCTAGTCTATTCCTCTATTCCTCCCACCAAAGTGCACAACCTCACACTTTCCCACATTGTATTGCATCTTCCACTTCTTTACCCATTCTCCTAACCTGACCATCCTGAAAAAGACTCCTTTTTTCCTCACTCTCTGCCTTCTGCCAGTCAGCCAATCCTCTAAGCATGCCAGCATCTTGCCCTTAACACCATGGCAGCTTCTTTTGTTTAGCAGCCTCATGTGCAGAAAAGGCCCTCTGGAAATCCAAATATATTTCATCCACTGGCTTTCCTTTGTCTAACTTGCTCATTACCTCCTCAAAGAATTCTAACAGATTTGTCAAACATGACATCTCCTTGATGAAGCCATGCTGACTCAGTCCTATTTTGCCATGCACTTACAAGTACTCCATGATCTCATCCTTAATAATGGACTCTAAAATCTTACCAATGACTGAGGTCAGGCTATCCGGCCTCCGGTTTCCTGTCTTCTGCCTCCCTCCCTTCTTAAACAGAGGTGTTACATTCACAATGTTCCAGTCCTCTGGGGCCCTCCCTGACTCCAGTGATTCCTGAAAGATCAACACCAGTGCTGCTACAATCTCCTCAGCCTTCTCCTGCAGAGATCTGTGGTGTAGTCCATCTGTTCCATGTGATTAATCCACCAACATACTCTCTTTAGTGATAGCCACGACATTCACCCCCGACTTTCTTGATGTTCTGGTGTGCTGCTGGTGTCTTCCACTATGAAAACCTATTCAATTCTTCCATGATTTCTTTGTCTTCCATACTACTTCTCTGGCCTAATTTTTCAATGATCTAATGTCCACTCTTGCCTCACTTTTACCTTTTAGATATCTAAAAACTTCTCTTGAAATCTTCTTTTATATTACCAGCTAGCTTACTTTCGTATTTCATCTTCTCCCATATTCTTGTTTTTTTTTTTTAAAATGTTATCCTCTGCTGGTTTTCAAAGGCTTCCCAATCCTCTGGCTTCCACTAATCTTCACCACATTGTACGCTTTTTCTTTTGCTTTTATTCTGCTCCTGACTTCCCTTGTCAGCCACAGTTGCCTCATTCTCCCTTTAATAGGTTTCTTCTTCCTTGGGATGAATTTCTGCTGTGCCTTCCGAATTACCCCCAGAGGCTCCTGCCTGCCTTTGCTGCCTCACCATTTTCCCTGCTTGGTTCTCCTTCCAATCTGGCCAGCTCCTCTCTCATGTTGTTGCAGTTACCTTTACTCAACTGTAATATTGTTACACCTGATTCCAGCTTCTCCCCCTCAAGCTGCAGGGTGAATTCTATCATATCATGGTCACTGCCCCCGAGGGGTTCCTTCACCTTCATCTCTCTAACTCCAGCTGCCTCATGATACATCACTAAATCCAGAATTTCCTGTTCCCTAGTGGGGTCTACAACATGCTGCTAAAAAAAAAACCCAGCTCGCAGACATTCCATGAATCCCTTTTCTTGAGATTCTCTATCAACCCAATTTTCCCAGTCCATCTGCATATTGAAGTCCCCTGTGAGTACTATAATAATGCCTTTCTTACATATCTTTTCTAACTCCTGATTTATTTTCTTCCCCGCATCCTGACTACTGCTAGGAGACCTGTACACAACTGCCATCATCAGAAGAGCAGTGACTTGGGAGCTAGATTCACATTAAAAGCAATACCTGGAACAGCTAAGGCTGAGATAAAAACATGGCCTTTATGGCAAAGACTACAGAATATAAAACTGTAACATTGAATTCATATGAAAACTCAGTAAAACTGCAATTGGGTTATAGTCAGGGTAGTTGTAAGCTTACTTCATAAAGAAAGAATATTAAGACCAGTGAAAAGATTCAGCATTTGTTCACTTAGATGATCCCTGTTACAAGCAAATACAAAGCACAAATTGAAATACTGGGGTTGTATTTATTAAAAAGGGGTGGATACAACGTAGTAGTTATGTCATTAAATCAGGAGCCCCAGATTTCACCACAACTGCCAGTGGAATTTAAATCTGTAATTAAATGTTAGTCTTGGTAATGGTAACTATTAAATTAATGTTAATTGCTGTAAAAACCCAGCTGGTTCACAGATGTCCTTCAAGGAAGAAAACCTGCCATCCTTATCTCATCTGGCCTACTTGTGACTTGAGAGGCATGATAATATGGCTGACTGCTAATTGCCCTCTGAAGTGGCCAAGCAAGTCACTTGGTTCAGTGGCAATTAGGCATTTGCTGCTCACATCCTGTGAAAGAATAAGTGAAAATGTCTACCTCCTTGCAATTATAACCTGATGATCTACTATTGGAGAAAGATTTTCTAAAACTCCAGTGCTTTTTTTGAATTAAGTAATCAATAATTTATGGTCAAAATGAAGGAAAAAAATATGGAAGTATCCCACAACGGACCTGAAACTACTATGTCTGAGGCATTCAGTTAAGCATCTCAACAGCAGAAGGCAAAACAAAAACCGTTATCTGCCAAACCTACAGAGTGAACTCTTTTTAAACACTAACAGAACCTTTCTCTGATATTGCACTTGTATCAATGAAACTGTGATCCAATACCTGTTAAGGGATAATCTTACCTGCTTCGTCAAAAGTTGCATTTCAGCATCCTTAACTCAAACTCAAAAGAATTTCAAATATAGCATTTAAAATCATTTAACTTCTTAGCTCCCATACCCAACCACAAAAATTCATGCAAGCTTTCTGTACCCCAAAACTATGTCGAAGTCTATCAAAGCAGCATATTTAAGTTATCCTCCAATCTTCCCACCCTTGGAAAAAGCACATACCTGTTTTTCCACACTGCATCGAATATAACTTCAACTGTACATCTTAGAGAATCACGAATAGAAAGTCACACTTAGCAACTTATGATGCAACACATTGATTCACTAGCATGTTTAAGAGTTTGAGTGCCTGCACAAAGCTGATACAATTGTTTATATTCTTGTCAAGAAAATATTGAAGGGAGTACACATATTTATAAATATTTAAAGTTGCATGTCAGGTTGCCCTGAAAAAGAGCTATATTTTTCTTGTCATCTCCAATGTTTTGACAACTGATTATATGTAACAATCATTTTTAGGATGACTATTTTCAATAATTTTGTTCATTACAGTTGAATGCAAACACCTCTGTTTTGAAAATTACAGAAATCTGGGGAACCTGAACTTAAAAAAAGCACTTGTATCCATAACGTTTGAAAAGTACCATAATCTAGACTTAATGGTATGATTAGCTGAATCCAAAGAGACATTTCAGTCATTTACTTACAATTAGAATTCTCCAAAACATGTTTTGAGTCCAGGAAAACCCTGCATAAATTCAATTTTAATGCCATACCTGAACACCTTAATGCCATCCTCTTCCTTTAATGCACTGTGGGCATAATGACCTCACAATCCATTAACTTCACACACTGAGGTTTTGCTACATAACTGCCCACAAAACTTTCAAAGTTTTCTTTTAAGTAATTGAAAATTGAAAATCCTATGATCATTATATTTTCAGTCTTGAGTATACATTGTTACTGTTCTAATCATTTCAAATTAAGCTTATTTTGCAAGCTTTTGCACATATAAACACAAAGCAGCTCCCTTTTTTAAGCTAATCCCAGAACTTTTGCAAATTCAAATAAACCTGTTGTAGCCATTCTCACTACCCAAAGTAAAACTTTCTTTCAGACTGTAGTTGCTGTGTAACCTCAATGAGGTTCAGGTGGCACTTCAGAACTAAACTAGCTGTTGTATTGTTTGATTAATAGAGCCGTGTTTGGCATCCAAGTACTTTGATTAATATCTTCCACCTGCAATACAAGCACAAGTAATCAAAGAGAAAAAGGTTTCCCCTGTAAAATTAACTACACTAGTCCAGAAAGAAAGTGGTAAGCAAGTTTAGTGAAGACTATAAAGGGAAATCAAAGAACACTGCAATTTTAGGAAAATAATTGAACTTTATAAACCTCCAAAATAAAACATCAGCTTAAAATGGAAATGTATCAATTCATTTTGCTTCTTTATTTTCATAATTATTTCAATTAACAATAATTAACTCAGAGCAAGCAATTAGTGAGCTTAATAAAAATAATCAAAAGCTGACAAAAAAGTTATTATATTTTGTTTCAACCATACAAATTTTCTAGATATAAGCATTAATCCAAAGGTTCTTGTTTTATTAATAGTTAACTAACTTCCATGTTCAAAGAGATATATTTAAAAGGTGTGTACCTGTGTTGTCTGGCAGCATGCCCTAAAGTTCAACACTATACGCCAAAATTACAGCATTCTAATAAAAATAAATTACACATTGATATGAAACAATTAATGGCCACTTAGGGACCTTAGCCTGCTGCCACTGCTTTTAACCCTTTGCTGCGTGTGGGGTGGCTGACAGAGATCTGGCATCAGGAATGATTGGCCCACTGACTGCTACTCTGCTGCCCTTGCTGCCAACCAACCACTCCCTCCACGCTCTCACTCACCGTGGTCTGGGACCCAACAATAATACCAGGCCTCTGGTCAGTGTTTTGCTAGCAGCCACCACCTCCCCAGCGAATGACTGCTGGTCTTGATTAGACAACAAATCTCAGTAGATGGAACTTTGGTTCCTGGGATCCTTGATCCAGGGCAAAGCCCACCGTCCAGTGTAGTGCCTGAGTAGCATTAAAAGAGGCAATGCAGGCCTCTCAGTAGCTCTTCAACTACAAGGCAAGGCCCCAATGATTTACATTAAATACTCCCTCCTGATTCTGGTTCTGCTCCTAAAGCAAAGGTTCAGTGTTGGCAAGGCAACTAATAAGATTACATTTTTTTTTTCAGACCTTAGTTAATAAAGCAAAGGCAGTAAAAGTACTGTTGCCACAATAAATTACTGATTATTTTGTAGGAGTTATTTCAGACACCAATTCTATAGTCTTACCTGCAACAGAATTTGGTCGAGGCATCAGGTACAGAGGGATGGAGTGAACAGACTGAGATGAGACAGTCTCCAAGTTTCTTTCTGGGAATTTATTCAAGCTGAATGTGGAGCCAGATATATTTTCATCCACTCGATATAGGCAGGAATCCAAGGCAGATTTTTGAGCATGCCATGGTTTAGCGCTTGTCCTGGAGCTCGATTCTTTACTACTTTCCCCGCCATACTTAGTACGTTCTACATTTTCTGAATAGCTTGTCAAAGTTGCTGTCGATCAGAAAAAAAAGAGAAAAAAATTTGTTACGTTGGAACAGTGCAAATTAACTTGCACGCTGTTTTCTAAACAAATCTAATTTGAAAATGCTAACTTCAGTTGTGGATACAGCTGTTAGCATTCATAGCTACTTTAATCTTTCCTTTTTCTTTTTTGTTATAGAAGTTACAGCCTACAACCTGCTTGATTATTCTCGGCTCAGGAGTAGCATTCTCCCTTCTGATTCAGAATTTCACGGGCTTAAACCCCAATCCAAAGAATTGATGATGATATAATCCAGGCTGACAGTGTGCAGTCCTGAAGAAATGCTGCATTGTTGAAGGTGTCTGCTCATGAATGAGACGTTTGCCTCCACAGGTTAACGCAAAGACTCTGTGGCATTTTTCAAAGGCATCTCTTGATGCCCTGGCCAACATTTATTCATCAAAAGACTTTCTGGTGACATAATTCCAAGTGGTTTTTAGCCCTATGGCTATGGAGCCGTTCTCTGAATTTCTTGATTAAGCCAAAAGATCTAAACTTGCCTCAATAAAAAACGAACATTTATGCTAGGTGAAAAGAAACTAGAGGCAGTTAGTAAACATGTAGATTTCTTGATTGACTGAGCTTGTCTGGACAGAGTGCAACCATATTGATTGGAAATATAAGATACAAGTTGGAGGTGGGCATAGTCACAGAATCAAACAATTGTCTGAAGAGAAGACAAATAGTTTTCATTTCTGTTATGGAGCATCCCAAAGTATTCAACATTGCTGTGAAGCTGTGTTATTTGGTTAGAATATTCTTCGGTTTAATCTGTCCAGGTGTTTCTCACAGAAGCAAGTTATGGATTTGGTTTTGTGCAAGTTGCAGCTCACATGGAATTCATGACAGGAAGGGAACTTAGTCCATTCATCTGACTTGGGGCTTGGGAAAGAGATTCCCAGTGACTGTCAGAAGTGAAAGGCAAGTAGCCTTGCAGCAAAATGTCATGAGCTTAAGCAGATAGCTTAGAAAGAGCTGTAAAGAAATTGTGGGAGCTGATTGTGAACAAGCAACCTGTCTGCGCAAAGTCATGGCAAGAAAGCAGGGGAAACCTCAGAGAAAGAGCAATGGAAGTCTAACCTACCAGACTAGGAAACTGAGATGAAATCAAAGTGAGTTCTGCAAGGCTTTTGTATAGCTTTGGTTGGTCCCAGAAGTAACAAATGAACTTCCAAGACATTATGATGTGGAAATGTCGGTGTAGGACTAGGGTGAACAAAGTCAGAGGTCACACAACACCATATTATAGTCCAACAGGTTTATTTAAAATCACAAGCTTTCAGATCTTTGGTCTATCGTCATATGGGAAGGAGCAATGCTTCGAAAGCTTGTGATTTTAAATAAACCTGTTGGACTATAATGTGATGTTGCGTGACTGCTGACTTTATCCAAGATATTACAACACAGAAGAATGCTCAGAGGAAGGTAAAAGTAAAACTGGACTTAGAGCATGAGTATTTATAAACAGTAATATTACATTAGCTGTAATTGTATTGAGATTTTCATTGCGCAGAAGCTGTTGTTTGTTTAAAAATGTTGAATTCTTGTGGCATAATTCTCTCAATTATTTACTGGATGTTAGATTTCCCTTTAAATGATCCCTACAGGGATAATAGCAATATGAATCAAAGGTAGATAAGTAAATTTGAGATATTGATCAGCCATCACGTAACTGAAGGAAGAGTATATTTAAGTCTAAATGGCCTATTTATTTTCTCAATTCAATATCCCAGAACTAGAAGAAATCTTTTTAATCTTTTTAAATAAGTTTTCTGATTATAATGTTGTGATGATGCACAATTCTACTAATCGATCAACAGATTGAAACATGTTAATATTTTTCTCTTGTAATGAGCTTGAATAGTAATGAAGGATATTTAGTCACAGAATACATTATTTAATCAAGAAGCACAACTCTAAGCATTCTTGGTGCTGATTAAAGAGAATGTCTAACAGCCTAAAACACTTTCATGTGGTTAGAAACAATTATAGGAATGCCCACTTTGATACTGAAGTTTCACACAGGCTATTTAATAGCAAGGATTTCAGGGCAAGTTATTGTTGATCTTACTCACTCCTATTTATGTAATGAACTATGAAGGGGGATGGTGTGGCATTGAAGAGTCAGAATAGTGTGGCACAGACTAGCCAACACATTGCTCATCAAAAAAGCCTTGCAAACTCAATCTAGTTAGTCTCACTCCCCTATACTTACCCTGCATCCCTCCCTACAATTTTTTTCTCCTTCAAGTATTTATCCAATGTTCTTTTGACAGCTAACGAGTCAATATTCACACTCTTAATGGTGCATTCTGAGTCTTCACCATTCACTGAATAGAAAATACTTGTTCAAGTGTTGCCTCAGCTTTTTTTGCCAGTTTGTCCCTTCTGGTTATTGACCATTTACCTACTGGAAACAGTTTCTCATTACTTATTCTAACTAAATTCATGATCAAATCTCTGTTTCTTCAGCTCAAAGTAAAACAGCCCAGTTTCCCCGCTTTATCCACCTGACTACAATCTCTCATCTTTGAAGCTATTCCAGTAAATCTTCTCCATACCTATGCCAAAGTGGGCAAGTCTTTCATAAAGTGTGGTGCCCAGAACTGAATATAATACTACCCCTGGGGCTGAACTGTTTTGTATATTTAGCTTTTAACCTTCCAGATTTACACTCTTGATCTGTATTCATTAAGTCAGAATCTCTCGTGCTTTATGAACTATTTTGTTAAACTGTTTTGCTACTTTCAAAGTTTGTGCACAAGCACTCCCACATCTGTTTCTTCTTCATCCTGTTTAAAATTGCACCATTTAGTTGTATCGTCTCTCCTCCATCCTAACAATACATCCTACATAACCTTACATTTTACTACATTGAATTTCATCGACCAAGTGTGCCCATAATACCCAGTTCTTTATGTTATGCTGAAACCCATTACTGTCGTCTTCACGGTCTGTTACACTTTTCATCTGAAAATTTCAAAATTGAGTTCCATGCCCATACAGTTTTGTGCTCAGGAATTACGAAAAAGAACAATGGTACTAAATCATTCCATTGGATGCCTCTCTTCAATTTGAAAAAAAAACAGCTATCCACTACAGCTCTATTTTCCATCTCTAGGAGTTGGAAATATGTCTTCATTACCACTGGGTCATGATTCTAAAACATCCTTGTTGTGCTACTTAAACTCCATTCGTTTAATGAAGATGGGTTTACTACCAGCTTCTCAACGGGAATTAGGGATAGATAATTGTGTCCTGGCAATACAGATGTCTAGGGTTTTAGAGAAATTTTAGTTTTGGTTTTGGTTGGTTATCTTTATACTAAATAGTGGGTAGAACAAAGTTCATGCAAAGAGCAATCTCAGAAATTAAAAAGTAAGGACAAGACATTCATTCAGGGTAGCATTAATAAGAAAACTGGGTGTTTTGGTAAGCAACCAAGCAAGAAAATGCAAGCATGCAAAAGCACATAGGGTCTGAATAAGGAAAAAGGATAATAATGTGGAATTAATGTTCGTTATCTCAATGCACACACCATTCATGACAGATGAACTCTTTGCACAAACAGAAATAAATGGTTATGATACCATTGACATTACAGAGTCATGGAACTGGATGCACTGTCCGCTGGGGTTGAGGTAGCTGTGTGTCAAGACAGAGGGTGGGGTAGGACCTGGATCCAACAGCTGGGGAAAGGGGGTGGGGTGGTGTCAGGTTGGGTCCCAGGGCTGTCAGGTGGAGCAAAGCCAAATTGGGTCTTGAAAAGGGCAAAGGTGGGGTCCTGGCATTTGGGTGGCAAAGAGGCTGTTCAGGTTGGAGCAGGAGGTCAACTCACAGGGTATCCAGAACAAACAGAGAGGTGAAGGGTAGGTACAGACAAAGGAAAGTGGGGTGGATGGGTGTAGAGTAAGAGAAGGGGGAGAATTGGGTCTAAAGTGGTGCAAAGGGGTGGGGTCTGGATCAGGGAAGGGAAGGGAGAGAAGAAAGAGGGTAATGGGGATGTCAGTTGCAGGGAGGACAGAGAGGTGATTAGGTTGGGGTTTGGGAAAGTGTAGGCTGCAGATGGTATGCATTGGGGGAAGTACGGTGTCGGTGGAATATTTTCTGAGTAACTGTTTATTAAATTTTATCAGAAGCTGCCAAATTCTTAGAACATTAGACCATTTCTTATAACAATGCATCTTGGAACCAACTAGAGAACAACCTATTTTAGACCTGAGATACCAAGGTGTAGAGCTGGATAAACACCGCCAGAGGAGCAGGAAGGCCGACGCTTTGGGCCTAGAAGGATCTAGGCCCGAAGCATCGGCCTTCCTGCTCAGCCTGCTGTGTTCATCCAGCTCTACACCTTGGTATCTCAGATTCTCCAGCATCTGCAGTTCCTACTATCTCTGAAACTATTTTAGACCTGGTAGCTTGTACTAAGATAGCATTAATTAATGAGCACAAATTAGAGGATCCATAGGGAAGAGTAATCATAAGGAATGAATTTCAGTTTGAGGGTAAGAAATTTGGATCTGAAACCAACCTCTTAATTAAGCTTAAATTCCAACTGAGCACTGAGCTAAGCTCCTGGACAATTATATTATTTACATTTGAACATAGCTTAGAGTGTTGCAGATCAGGCATGGGGCTCAGACTTGCTATTTAGTGAACTTTGGGTTCCTGACTTCACATTAAAAATCCAACATCCACCCACCTCCAGTTCAGTGTAGAAACAAACCACCCCGAAACTTAAATATAGGGAGAGAAAAAGTTCCTTCAACATTCAAGAAACCATGTGCGTTTTGAACAGAGGATATTTATCACATGTAGTACATTTATGAAATATATGCTTCTGAATGCTTAAATAGCATCCTGGTGGTGGTAGGATTTGGTCTAGTTAACATTATCCAGAAGCAGCTATGGTAAGTTGTTGATTGTATGTGTACAGATTTGGGTTGCTAACTAAAATGCTCGACAAAAA